ATGGTTTCAGGGGGGGGGCAAATTATTTGCTCAAATGACTTGGACTTCTTGTTGTCTTGTCTTTCATCACTTCCTTCGAGGGGAGTTAAGATTATTTGATGTTTAATTATTAAGTCCTTTGCTAATTAGTGAAATTTGTTGATCATGAGAAGGACAGTCATCTAGTGCCCGGTTTCTCAGATGCACAACTACTGACTATAACGTTCACACTTTTTCAAACGAAATTCAAATTGGGAGTGTTTGATGTGAATTGAGTCTGTGTTAGATTACTATGTTCGTATGAAAATTCAATTAGAGTACTAACCGATCTAGTCTGTCAATTGCGTATAGAAAAGAAATTAACCCAACTATTGTTCTACAAGGCATCCTTTAGCACACTATGAGGGAAACTTACATTAAATGATAGATTTACCTCGTCATTTTGTCACCTTGACCATTGACCACTATTTTTGGGGATGAATAAAAATAAAAGAAAAAGTTGAGGGAGAGTGAAAATAATGTTTGCTTTCCACTTCTAAAGATTCAATTGGAGCGAGCGAGAAGATCATCATCTGCAAGAAAAGTTTTAGTTTGATTCACGTCTTTTCTTGTTTTTATGAGGAAATGAACCATATATTATTCGGATGTGATGAGAACCCTGCAGGGTTCCAAGGATTTCAGATGGTGAAGTGATATTTCAAAAAAAAAAAATTCAGTTCTTATCTCATGTGTTTGATTTATTTATATTTTTTTATTTTGAGATGCAAGCGTTAAAATTAAATATCTATTGAGAAGCGATATCGACTAGAAATGGTTTCTTGCCTCGGTGAATTCTACACAAAATTATGAAGAGGTGTCAATTGGGCGGGTTGGGTCAGGTTCGAATTGGGTCTAACCGGGTTGGGTTCAATCGGGTTTCGAGTTAAATCGGGTCGGTTTCAATTTGGATCGGGTTTAATTGGGTTGCAGGTCAATTGGGTTATGAGTCAATCAGGTCACTGGTCAATTGGGTTACGGGTCGGGTCGGGTTACATGTGCATCAAATTACGGGTTTATTGGATTGCAGGTTAATACGGGTTCAGTCAGATCGAATTATGGGTTATTCGGCTCAACCCATTGAATTATTCACTTCTTAACAGAAAATAATATTTTGCAAACTATCGATATATGAATATAAATATTAGGTAATGATACAAAATTTAAGAAAATGATAATATGATAATATTTTACACATACAAGTTAAATATCCATTATGTTAGTATAAAAAGTAAATATTAATAAAATAGTGTATATAAAAGCTTTGTTGTTGGTTATAATTTTTTTTGTTTATGGTGAGAGATTGTAACTTCACTTATTTTATTAATTTATAAAAAAATTGAATGAGTACAAATTTGAGAATGAAGTAAAAAAGGTAGACTATATGCTTATACATCTCGAAATGAATCGTCTTAATTAAATATAGTATGAACTAGATGTGTGTCTCTTCATTTCCACGAAGACTTATGAACATCATTCCGAATCACCCACTTATATATCTTCACAATTTTTTATATATTCACGGTAACATCTCATCCTAAAACTCATGGGTCGAACAACGGTTCGCTCAAATATGATATTATCATCTAGTTCGAATCATCGATTTATTAATTTATAAAAAATAAATAAAATCAGTAAAAAGGGTAAACTATCCACTTATATATCTTGATAGGGATCATTGATTTCATTGATTTTGGGAATTTCATTGATTTTCAAGGGTTGATTTTTTTAATATAGTTATGGGTGGTGGAGATACGAATTTGTGTCTAACTCTTCCTATTATCTTCAAAAATTTATCCATTGAATTTTATAAAATAAAAAATGAATGAAAAGATATTTCACATATTATTATTTTAAAAATTAAATATTTAAGAAAAAATCTCAATTTATACCATCAATTCTACAAATAATTTTCAATTATTACGAGAACATCTATTCTACAAATAATTTTCAATTATTACGAGAACACCAGTTCTTTCTTTTAAAAATATAATAATGTATACATTGAATTTTTATACAAGCATTCAGGTCAAATGGGTTATTCAGGTTATTCGAGTTGGGTTCGGTTTGGTTACGGGTTATTTGGGTTATGAATCATTCGGGTTATAGATGGGTCGGGTTATGGGTTGGATCGGATAACGAGTTCATCGAGTTATGGGTTGATCGAATTACAGGTCAATTGGTTTCGGGTTACCGGCGGACTTCAGGTGGTTAACTTTTTGTCAAATCGGGTTACGGACGGGTTTTGGGTCGGGTGGGTTGGGCGGGTTAGTCGGGTTGGGTTCAATTTTGCATCATAAATTATGATGCACATGTTGTACTTAAAAGCCAAAAAAAAAAAGTAAATTTTTGAGTTATTTCAAGAAAATCTAACCATTGATATCAAGTAAAAAAGCATTTGACAATTGTGATTTGTGAGGCTTGGTACTCTTTAAGGAAACAATCACACAAATTATTGCAGACCCTAGAAACAGTGTGTTTCATCAGTCCAAAACTCCTCCCACACCTCTGAATGCCCGCTCATATCTGTTCTTCAGATAAGGTGCAATGTATATTTTATTCTCTTTTGTGTCTGTAGTCATGCGTGTAATTAGAAAAAATATTGCATTTTCTCTTATTCTAGTGATCATTTTTCTCCTCTCTTTTCCTTTTTTGGATTATTATCAAATTAATACGAACAAAAAAAACTCAAATCTGGAAAATTTGTAAAATTCATATCTTATCATTTCTGATACAAATTTTACTAATGATAAATAAATTATATCAGAATGATAAGAAACCAAGTATCTTAGGTTTTATTGAACAAGAATTTGATCTAATAAATTTATGATTGATTCTGCCAAAGGTCTTAAATTTGAATCCATGCCTTTCTATATTGAAAAAAATCCAATTAATATATATATATATATATATATGCATGTACAAAGGCGGAAAGATCACTCAACCCCTCCACTCATTCACCTCCATAGAAAACCATTAAACAACCACTGTCTTTTTGCAGGATGGAGGCCAGAACCCTACACCTGTCCCTTACGTGACGTTCTCTAATCCCTATAGCTTACTACTCAATATTTTTAATCAACCATTACCTGATATGGAATCCAACAAAGTTCAATCAATTTCTTAATTAATTCAAGAAGAAAGCAATTAATTAATTAACTAATGGGTGATTAACTACTATTGTATATATGGATCATTACATTTCTTCTTAAGAAGTAAGCAAAACGAAACACCTGGTTTCAACCCATTGGTGGCCAAGTAGTTTTCATGGTTCTCCCCTAAAGAAAAAATCAACCCACACCCCCTACCAAATATTCTACTAATTAATGTAAATCTTTACTAGATTATGCTTAAAGAGGGTGGCTATATATATAAAAAAAAAATCTTTTGTGTGGCCTTATGCCTAGATGCAATAAGCTCTAGTACGTACGTGGCACACGGTTGTCTCACTTTTGGCTCCGCGTAATTATATATTAGTAATTATTCTGTACATAGTTAAGATGTGTGTTCATTTGAGTCCTCAAAAGGGCATGTCACTCAATTCCTTGACTAAAAAAAAATTATAAACTATATTTTGGTGTTTTCCCTAATGTCCTTTCTTTCTTGTGTTATCTTAATCTAGCTAGAAGCAATTAGGTGGTCTCCTCATGGACCTCATCACCCCATTTCTAGAAACCTTGATACCAATCATAAGAGCATCTTGGCCGTCAGATTCGTGTTCAAAGGGGAAAGAACAAAACCCTCAAAATAATGTCGGGGCATATCAGTCAATCTTGGTTGGAATTTTGGCAATGAACAATCATCGAATACCCTTCAATATGAGGGAATTAGATGAATAAATTGTTGGGTTAGTCACGAATTTTTACGGTTTTACTTATGTTTTGAGAACCGGATCTAACACTGAATCGGAGAAGTTAGTAATTTATGGTTCATCGATTAATCGTTAATAAACTGTTGGTTAATCATTGATCAAACCGTTCATACACTATAACATGAATGACATAGATAATACACTAATTAAACATTTTATCACTAACCATAAGTACGTACTTTCAAATCCATATCTTCTATCACTAAAAAAAAGTTCTAACTAATCATTCAAAGTATCTCACACAAGGAATCATAACTTTTTAATTTATTAAATCCAAGTTATAGTAATTAGATCGACAATTCATAATGGACCACATAAAGATAACAAGGAGGCTGGAAAATTAAGAAAAAGAAGCAGAAATAAAATTAGTGATCCAGCAGGTTGGATTGCCTTGGTGTACATGAAAGTATTTATCTTTTTTTTTTTTTGTTAAAATAGTGAACCAGTTGACTAGACAAATCGTCGTGATTATCTGATTCATGTCAAACCGCTAAAAAGTGTTCGGTTCATCCTTAGTTGTCCAAACAAATGGACCGAACTCCTGTTGTAACTAATTTTTAGAGTTGTACCAGTCCAATCGCTAATCCGGTATGCTATTTTTCTTAAACCTGTTACTAATTATCTGCATTTTTTTATAACATGCCTTATGGACACCAAAGTGTAAATCAAAACTCAAAAGTTAAAGTAACCTTATTTATTGAAAATTTTCTCCTACTTTTCTGTGAACGAAATAGAAAGCTAAAATATGGTGGCCAATTAGTAATTGATGTATAATTTAGGTGGGTTTAATTTCCCCTTAGAAATTAAAAGTTAATAGAGATGAGGAGGGATTATATGATGGTGACACTAGATCATGTTTACAAGAAGGTGGTGAGTATTAGGCATTAGCTAATAGAGTGGTGCGCTGTCCAGTATAAATATGGACACAAAGCACTATCCTTTGGAAGGCACAGAATTATTTGGTAAACAAAAAAAAACCATAACCTTTGTGGTTTACCAAACACATAGTGAGGACTAAGCTCCCCAAAACAAAACAAAACCCAAAAAAAAAAAAAAAAAAACCCTTCTTTGTCTCTTTTTTTCTTCCCTCTCTTGTTATATCTTCATAGTAAGAATGTCGTGGGGAGTGATGGAGGGACATTTTGGGTGGGGAAGCTGCAGCAGCAATGGCGGTGGTGCTGTGGTTGAACAAGAAGCTGGGTGGAGAAAGGGTCCTTGGACTGCCGAAGAGGACAAGTTGCTGATCGAGTATGTCAAGCTGCATGGCGAAGGACGATGGAACTCTGTTTCCAGGCTTGCAGGTACTCATAATTACATATCATCCATCGATCGACCGACTTCTGTCCAGTCTTTTAAAAGTTCACATTTTTTTTTACACTTTCAGATATTATCAAAACGTAATTCTACCGTAGAATCGCGCGCTTTTGACTGCATTTGATGCTAATTAATTAGCGCTCTTTTTTTTTTTTTTTTGCGACGTGATGGAATGAATCAGCAGGACTGAAGAGGAATGGGAAGAGCTGCAGGCTGAGGTGGGTGAATTACCTGAGGCCAGACCTGAAGAGAGGACAAATCACTCCACAGGAAGAGACCATTATCGTGGAGCTCCATGCTAGGTGGGGGAACAGGTATGTTAATTATTAATTACAATCAATCTTCAATTAATCCCACCATCCATCACAATTAAATTAACTTTACATTAATTAATCACTCGATGAGTTGAACCTTCTGCCGAGTTCTAATTGAATATAGTAATCTCGATCTTTTCATTTAATTTAATTTTTATGGACAGGTGGTCCACTATAGCTCGGAGCCTGCCAGGGAGAACGGACAACGAGATCAAGAACTACTGGCGAACCCACTTCAAGAAAAAGACCAAAGTGCCCCCGCTCCTCGACACCTCCGAGAAGGCCAGGAACCGCCTCCTGAAGCGGCAGCAGTTCCACCAGCAGCAAAAAGAGCAGCAGCAGTTGCAACAACACCACCAGCACCAGCAACAGCAGCAGCAGCTGCTGTGGCAACTGAACCAGCTGGACATGAAAAAAATCATGTCCTTGCTGGATGACACGTCCGACTACCCCGCCGCCGCCATGGCTCAGTTCAGCGGCAGGCAGGATAATCAGGCCGCCGCCGCCGCCACTAGCAGCAGCAACGGTAATACAGCTCATCATGTAGTTTACCCTAACGGCGGGGATCATTTCTTTAGCAACGGCATGTTCAGCGTCGTTAATGATGATGATGATAATAATAAAGCACCGGCGGCTGCGGCGGCGGCGGCGGCGTCGAGCGAGGAAGTGGGGCTGTGGGAGGAGGGGCTGTGGAGCCTGGAGGACTTCCACGTGGCGGTGGCTACCGGCAGAGTCCCCAACTTGGTTGCACCTTTTTGTTGACTTTGTTGGCTTAATTAATCATCCAACGATCGAGGCAACAACGGAATGCAGCTATATATATATAATCTGCCCGGCCGGCCAATAATTAAACTCGATCGATCGTCTTCATGTGTCATTTTTGTTTCCTTGCTCCATTCCATGGTGGTTTAGAGACCAACCAAAAAAATCGGGGGCGGGAGCTCCTAAAAGGTGGAGCTTTTGTCTTGGTGCAGAAAACATGTTGTTCATTAATTGCAAGCTGTAAAACTCTCTTTTGTTGTGCACAATTATACCCGGCTGGTGGTCCATCTGCTACATACAAAAAAAGTCGGTCGTTTCCATTTCAACCAGGACTTATGACGATGGACGAATGATAATCGAAAATTGTACCGGAGAAAAAGTCAATGATAGAGAATATTTTAATGTTGAAATTGTGGTTCAATCGCGTTTTATAACGCTAAAAACGATTCAGACTAGGACATGGTATGAAGTTTGCTAATCGCGTTTTACAAATGAACCACCAGCAGTACGATACACTCTTACAAACATGGTTCAAAGAGATATATGGGAATTTGGACTTACACAAGGAATTTTGACTTCTAGCCTCTCCTTTTGTCGGCCCTCTTGAAATTTATTTCTAACCCTTCTCTTTGTTCCTTGAGCACTTAAGCGGGATGTGTAGCTTGCTAATCATAAGGGGTGTTAACACCCTTAATTATATTAGTAGTTATTGTTTTTTGTAGTTGTAGTTTAAAACTTCGGTGTAATTATAGTTATAGTCATTTATTTTTTGTAGTTGTCGTTATTTCTGCAGAGATAAAACTACAATCCGACTCAAACTACTACAATCAATGCACAATTAGTATGGTGATAACAGCATAAAATTACCAGTTAAGTCCCACTTAACTGAGATTTCATGGAAAAATTCGTGAAAACGAAGGGAACAAGGCTCTTGATCAGTTGAGTAGGTCACAAGTCACAACCCATTAAAGGAATTAGCAGACACGCACGCACTTAATGTTTTTTTTTTTTTTTTTTTTTTGCTTCTAGACCTGATTATTTTGAATATTGACTATCCGTCTAGTCTTTTTAAGATCTTCATTTTTCCACTTTTGATTTCAAGATCACATTCATGTTACCACTAATCCAACTCCATGCATTTTCTTTTCCCAATTCCTTTCCAATTTCACAAGGAGATTATAACTTACATATCAAAATTTGAGATACCTCGAATCTATTTATTTGACCTGCGCAATTTTATGAATTTTGTTTTCGAATCACTGAATTAAGGTAATCACCCAATTTTGAGGGCATGAAGACGTTGCATCCAGGGGCGGAGACACAGTGTTAGAAGGGTGTGCCGTGGCACACCCTTGGGTCGGGGCTAGAACATTAAAAAATAGGGGTATTAGTTTATGCTATAGCTAGGATTTGAACATGGAACCCCCTTACTATTAGCTTTGACATCTTCCACTAAACAACAATTACTTACATGATACAATAATACGTTCTATTGTATATATATAATTTACCGTTTACAAATAATAAGTAAATTAAATTAAAAAACCTCATAATTACATGCTTATTCAAGAAGTAAACGAATGTATTTTACAGACTTTTCAAAATATGAAAACCCGTCGTGGGTCACTATAAAAAATTGATAATCATTTTAATTTTTTTAAATTGGCACCCCCTTACTCAAAATCCTGGCTACGCCACTGGTTGCATCCCCGATCCAAATGACGTTTAAGCTTCACCATCTATTTTCTAGTTTGCGAACTCAAATTTTTTCGGCCTAATTCGTATAGAATTGAGCGAAAATGAATCCATAATAAAAACTTTAGAAACTCTACGTATCATGCACTTTCCTCTCGAAATAATGAGTCTGTTTATACATATATTTTACGGTGCTTGTGGACGTAGCTAATAAACCTACTCATATCTACAAAAGCTTGTAAAGCAAAATAAATTATTTAAACAAATAATTAAGTTGTGTAAATGGGATCACTGCACCTTATAATTAAGCCTTATGATATTAATACTGGTTGAGGTGTACTATTATTATGAGGTCATCATTAAAAAAACATTCCAGAGAATAAAAGCAAAAGCATTCTAGGCTTAAACTAAGAGGAAATGAACAAATGTTTTTGCTTTCGACCAAAAAGGAGAAGAAGAAATGAAGAAAAGGATGATGAAAAGTGAACTTAGTACAAGTCCGTGCTGGCTGTCTTTTGTTCATCATCAAAGTACTGGCTAAACGAGGTGATGTGTTTCTTCTCTTGTCGTCATCTCCAACTTTATAAAGAGAAGAGAAAAAGAGAGGCTTTCCAATGACATCACAGAGCAGAGCAGAGCAGCAACAATGTCGTTAATATGAATATATGCTTTGATCTTAAAGGCCAATCTGTTCCCAACAACGTACAAAAGAAAAACCCAAATTTCTGGATTTTGGATATATGCAGATTGAGATTCTCTTTCAGTACTCACTCTCCATGTTTTTCTGTCCACTTCTGAATTTCATATGTTATCTTTACTGATCTGCGCGCTTTCATCAGCAATATATATTTGCATTGGCTGCGCAAAAGGGAAGCAGAGATTTTTCCAAAACAATTAGATACAGACAAACTTGGACGATTTGCAATCACTTGCACTAAGTTTAGGACTAGGAGTACAGTTTCCCCACTACCATGCTTATGCATAGAGTGTATATAACCTAGTTTATATGTCGAATTAGTACGCCAAATCCATTTGTTCGTTAACACCTTTTATTTTATCGATACGTTGTTGGTGTATTTTTTAGACTCTAAAATAGGGTGTTTTGTTAGGAAAGATTAGACTATAGATTGCTGAGGCATAAGACTTCATCAACAGAATGATGTTGCAGAAGGTTGGATAAGTCATAAATGGATCATTCTGCAATTCTATGCTGCTGAAGGTTCATTCCCTCTGCAGAACCAATATATGAAATGCTGACAGACCTCATCTGGGTGATGAAAAAAGCTCTCTGATTTTCCAGAGTAGCGAGGATGTTGCGTTGCGTGGAAGCTTTTGAGGGTTGGTCTACTGCTATACACTTTCTTTCTTACCCGATGAATGACAGGATCTTGTCAAAACTGTCAAAACTATAGGACAGTAGAAGTAGAGTTGTGGTGATGTGCTGATGGCCAAAACATTGTTCTTCAGGGTTTGTCTACTGTCGTTTTCATTTTAGCAGTGAATGAAACAGGTGGTAAACAATGGGAGCCTCTAATTTCTAACACATCATGCAGTAAACAATGGGACGGTAAGGGTAAAGTGAAACAGGTAACATTGCTAAGACGTGATTAGTTTTTCTGGGGGCTGAAACTAGCTTTTCTTACGGTTTAGTGAATGACCTGAGCCTGTGTTTAAATTTGCAGGTGTCATCAACGCAGAATCATCTCAGACCTGTGTAGCAAAAAAGAAATAGAAAACTTTGTGAGTGCAGTTCATGGCAACATTTCAACTTATGAGTAGGGAATGATCAACTCAGCTTGTTCGATCCCCTGCATGGCAAGCAGAACCATAGCTCACAGTCGGAGAAACCACTCTCAGAAGCAGTACGTTCTTGTTCTGCAAGTCTCTGCCCGCGTTTGCAACAGCCAGCAGCAAACAGCACACACGCTGGTCTGGGTCATTATGCAATGTGCCTCTAGAAGATTCAACTTGACAACTTGGAGCTGCAATTAGGAAATGAAGTGGTTTCTGTCTGAGAGACAAAAATGGCCACACAGTGAACAACAAGCATTCAGCTAGGGAGGCATAGGCACCCGAACGAATACAACAAGCAAAGCACGAATAGTCATTTTGATGGTGCGATTAACATTTAAAACAACCCTGAAAAAATGTAAGAGGATATGGTTATGATTTCAGTGACAATATACACCTGAATATACCCAGAATTTTAGTCAACGCAGAGTACTACTTTTTATCCATACATTGTAGGAAGAGGTAATCAAAAGAAATAGAATCTCGACGCTAGGAGATGCCTGATATTATAGATTGAAATGTTACAGCAATGGGGCTGAGAGATTGACAAGAGTGTGATCCCTTCCAGAGCTCCCAATGGCCAGAAGCCATCAACAGTCTCTTAAACTGTAGAAAATTTACTTGATTAGCAGAGATCACTAAAGGAGCCTAACTTCAAAAGTTTGCCTTTCTTCAAGCAGCCAGAAGCGCAACAAGTGCAGAGTGTGTATTGTCAGGTAATACTTCCCATCTACAACCCTGCAAACCATCAATTTCATCTGCAGGTTCTGTCAGCTCAGTTTAGCTACTCTTAAGCCACACCCTCAATCGCATCCCCATCTCCAATACGGACTGCTAACAGCATGTCTGAAAGGTTTTTGCTTCAAGGTTTCTTGCCAGAGTCTCTTTCACGCCGATAAACAAAAATGTAATTGATCATCACTCTTCCGACCCTTCTGGCTTTTCTGGATTTTTTACTCATGCCTCTCCTTCTATCCTCCTTGTACACAGGTTCAGACATTGGTACATTATGTATGTACGCCAAAGGAACTAAAGCTAAAAGAAACTGTATCAAAATCCCCACAGGAAGACGTGAGTAGTCACTCGATGTTATTCCAAGCAGTGATGCTAATCCAACACCAAAAAAGCCACTAAGGACGGATGACAGAATAAATGCTGAAGCCAAGAAAGATGTAAGGGATCCTTCACAGCCTTGTGGGCATAAACTTGCCAACAACACTGAGAAAGGGAGGAGTTTAAACTGTTGAAGGATTTCTGCCAAACCCGAAAAGCAAAGAGCAAATAACTCATTTGTAATCCCTAACTTAAGATTGATCTGCCTCACCAGGACAAAGTCAAGGAGCAATGAAGCTGCATACAAAAACTGGAGGGTACCAACCAGTTTTCTCATGGGAAGTTCTTTCCAGTACCGATCAAAGAGAACAACCAAGGAAAGTAGCGTCAGCTGGCCTATTACTTTGGACAATCCAATAACTGAAGGGTCTAGATTTAGGCATTGTGTCTGATAGCAGAAGATGGAGCCTGAAAGAACAGGAACCATGGTAATGGAAGCCACCATCCACATCAATGGACGGAATATCCGGTCCTCCCTTAAAGCCATCTTCAGATTGTTTACCTGATATATGATACTCTCCCATATCGATTTCCCAACAACAGAACGGTCTGGTTCTCGTGACAGACCAAGAAATTCTTCCCTGCCTACTGATGAACTGCCAAGCTGGAGAGACAACAGAAATGCAAATACCACAAACATGGTTCTGGGGGCTGTCTTTTGCAAGAAAATGCCGCCAAGCAAGTTGCCAAGGATTCCACCTATAGCCAAAGCCATAAATCCATAGGATTGGAGGCCTCCTATTTTGTGTTTTTGGCCATACTCAGCTACAAGAGCATCCGTAGCAACTTCAGTAATTGAAACACCAATGTTACTCAGAAGGATGCACGCCATGAGCATGGGAAGAGCTTTAGATGCAACAGGAATCATTGCCAACACACCCCAAGGCAATATCTGCAAACAAACTACACAAAAAAAGAATTTTGGGAATTTCCATCAGTCAAAAGCACATAAAAGCAAGTTCAAAGTAAAGATTATGAAAACTGAGAAGAAGAAGAAGAAGAAGAGGCAGGCAGGCAAAGACAAAACCAACCTCCAATTTGAATGTAAGGTATTCTATGAGCTCCACCAATGTAGATAACATCAGAAAGGACACCATAGAGAGGCTTGGCCACCATAGGAAGGTTGCCAGCACTCTGCACAAGCTGCAGCAGGGAAGGATGAAAGCTGAGATGGTGAGCCATGTGGAAGTTGAGACCCAGCCATGGAAACGCTCTAAACCCTTGCATCCAACACCCAAACCCACACAGCACAAGCATCTGTTCCCAACCCAATTGGCCACGGAAGCCTCCAACACTTGTCCCCTTCGTCTCCCCTTCATGCCCCTTCACATTATCGCTCACCCGTTTGTCATCGCTGCCACGAAAATGACCCGGATTAACCCAAATGGGCTCGGAAGAGACACGGGTTACGAGTCTAGCTCTGGGCTCATGCGCCTGGTCAGTGCACGTCCGAGGATTCTGCTCATGGAAGACGCAAGCAATTGGGTGATTCCGCCCTAAAGCTGGCAACTTTATCGAAGGAGGAGGAGGAGCGTATACAGATCTCAGGTCCCAGCCCAAATTGGGCCTCCCAATCGGACACCTCGTCGGAACAAAGGAATGAATCATGATGACGACGAGATTACAAGAAAAAAACAGAACACTTTTTTTTTTGTGTCCCACCTAAAAGATGGGCACTTTCCTCCTAATTTTGTGAGGGGATAGCTTTGTTGAAATCGGGGTTGTGGGTAGATGCGACATTTAAATAATGAAGGAAGGTAGAGAAGGAGGAGGAGGAGGCAAAGAAGCAAAGAAACGCATATTTGAGAGAAATTGAATCCTTTTTTGACGCTTTCCTGGAGAGAATAGAATTGAGAATTGAAGGAAGAGCAGAGCTGAGGGTTTAGAACAAGAGTGTGACAGAGGACTTGGTTGGAGGAGAGGGATTAACGACAAGAAAGGCTGAAATGGGGCGGGGGGCTGGTTGCAGCCAAAACGAATAGGAACGATGTAGAGGAAGGCAGAGAGTTCCAGGCTAACAGTCACGACTCTCTTTCTCTGTGTTCGCGCCACTTGTCTCTCTTTGTGCCGTTTGGACCCTCCGTAGATCTGGAGGTGGGGCCCAGCGTGGGAGAGCCAAGGAATTGGGCCACGAGGGGAGGGCAGGGAAGGGGCCCACTGGGCCAGGCCAAGCCCAACGTGGCAACGTGAGAGGGAAAGAGAGAGAGAGCAAGACAACGTTTTTGGAGGAAAGAGTCCGGTAATTGCAACGACAGCGACCAAAACAAATGAGGGTTCTGATGGTTACCGGCGTCCTCGATGTCGGCCCGTGGCAAGTGGCAAGTGGGCGGATGGAGTGATTTTGGCTTATGTCACCGACTGGGGTTTATATTTTTTGACCCGATCGGAAATTCTGGCTAGCGTATCGACCGAGCAGCATCGCAAGATCCGACGACCGTGATAACGGGATTCTAGTCTCAACCCAAGGAATAGCAAAACAAAATCATATATTTACGGTTTATCTGTCTGTTTCGTAACGGTTAATTTATAACTAAACCAGCCCGTCTAGCTCAGTCGGTAGAGCGCAAGGCTCTTAACCTTGTGGTCGTGGGTTCGAGCCCCACGGTGGGCGAAGCTTCTCAATTTTTGTTTGGCTGGAGAACTGAAAGAAGCACAAAAGCAGTAAACCTTCACTATCTTCTCAAAGAGTGCCGTCTCTTGCTTTTTGATTCATATACTGCTCGACATTAGTGTCACTCTCTTCCAAAAAGATGCTTCTTCATCCTATGGTGCATATGCTAAAAAAAAGATTCTCACCACCTTCAATAGTCCTGACAAATCTAACAGGAGTCAGATAATCATGGGAGCAGATCGAACTTCGACTCCAACACCTGCTGAACTTCAGTCAGGGATGCCACTTTGAAGTCTGGTTCGAGATTCAACTCTGCGAAATCATCAGGGCTATACCTGTCTTTTTCATCAAGCAAACATGTGAATGCCCCAGCGCGTTTGCCACAAACCACCTGCAAATTAGCCACATAAGAGACATGGATAATCAAAGACTAGTAGAGGTATATATTCCGAGTCAAGCATCAAAGCAAAACTACATTCTGGCAAGCATGAAAGAACCAAAGCATAATGGTAGTACCTTGTTCAATTAATAAATGGAATTCCAAGAAAGGTACTCGAATCGAATGGAAATGGCAGGAGCGGTGAACAATAAAAGAGAAGAGGAAGACGGGATGCAGATGATATGACTTACATCATCTTTAAGGCTGTCACCGATCATTATGACCTCATCGGGCTGAACATCCCATGCTGAACAGATATGCAGTAGAGGAGCCGGGTCTGGTTTACAAGGACGGAACTCCCTGCTCAATGCTGGAGAAAAGGGCCTCTGCAGCAAAGAACCCACCACAAACAAGATTGAAACCCTCTATCTGAATTCAAAGCTGAAAAATGAAAATAGGAATTGCTTATTGCAAAGAGCAAAGTCTGGATAACTGAAAAGGCAAACATTGACCGTGACTGTGAGCATTTGCACTACTTCTGTTACAGCCAAAGAAAGAAGCAGCAGAAACCGTAGTGCAGTTGGGGTCAAACCAAAATACTTTGTCAACACATGCACCAGCCAGGCCACCAATCAATCACAACTTATAACTTACAAACTTGAGGAAACATAGCATACATCCAAATGGAAACAGCAAAGCTTTTTTATGAAGGTAATTTTATGGAAGTTTCCATGATGGTAAGCAGCGAACTCTAGCCTTTCACCATTCAGACTCCTACTTAACTTCCAGGACATCGTTCAACAATAGAGAACTATCAAAAAACAAACCCCATGGTGGCAGTCAGTTCAGAAGAAACCAACAGCAAGGCAGAGTCATTCAACGCCCATCACAAGAAGCAACGCACTTACCCCAAATCGGGAATGAAAAAGATCAACAGCTTCCTTGAAGTTTCGAGTGATTAGCCCCCTCCTGAAGAATTACCAACTAAGACTTCCATGACACTAACTTCTTTACGCATATCGCAGCTAAGTATTATCAGCAAATTCTACGGCATAACTCGAGAACCCAAACCTGATTTTCTTCGAATCCAGAAACCCACATAGCTCTGCAGCACCTGCTCAACCAGCAGCAGCCAGCAATTGAGAGATGCGAAGGAAATGTGACCACCTCAGCGCAACTAAAGTTCACCAAAAAAACTCACCAGGCATGATTTGAAGGCGGTCGAGGCCCTGGCGCTCGTGATCAACAATGATCTCGTAAGCCTTCCGCTGCCGGTCGGGGCTCCAGTTCTCGATGTGGTGGAGAATGTCGATGCCCGAAGGATTCTCGGCCTTGATTCTCCGGTACTCGTCCTCGCCGAGCACGGCGTTGTACATCGCCGCGAAATCGATGGCCGGGACCGTTAGGGTTCCGTCCATGTCGAAGACCACCCCTCTGATGCGTGCTCTGGCGGCGGGAACGGCGGTGGACATGGCGAAGTGAGAAATTGACGATGGGCGGTGCTTAGGATGCAGAGAGAGGAATGATTTGCAGAGGACAGAGCGCATAATTTTGGAGGGAGATTTATGGAGATAATGCTGGATTTTTGTGCGGGCGTGGCGAAGCGCTAAAGTGGCGGTTGGTTAACCAACTGCTCTTTAACAGCCGGCGGTATGATATTCAGTTATTCACAAACGGAAGATGCCGGACTCTGGAGCATAATAGGCCCAAAGCTCAAAAACATGATGTGGCTCAGCTCCATTTTGGGCTTACATAAGCCACACAATATGTCCATTGGGCCAATGGCTCGTTTAGGAATTCATTTCCTTCCCCCAAAACGTTTTTAAACAAGAGCGAAAAAAGAAGAAACAAAACGTTTCAAAGTTCACAACTGTCTTTGTTTAAACCATAAACCCTCTGCGAATTGCACTTCTGGGTCTGCGCCAAACAAAACTCACTGGTCATGGCGGCCGCTTCACCGCCACCGCAGCCACCGTCGACTTCCAAATCGTCAAACAAGAGGGGAAAGAGAAGGCGACCACAACAAGACCCGGTGCTCGAAGGAATCGATTCACTCCCCTGGAAATCCTCGCTTCCCGAAGCCGAAGAAGGTGACCCGTTCTCTGTCTTCGCCGGCGTTAATGATTTCGAAGGAGGTTTGTCATCTCTCTCTCCTCTCTTTTATCATTCTCGGGAATTTTTCGGCTGTAATGAGAGCCATGGTGCTTTTGCGGTTTCCGCAGGACCTCAGGACTTTCTATTTGCTTTACTGTGGCAAAACTAAATATGAATTTACTTCACATTGAGGTTGCTGTAGTGTTTGATAGCCTATTGCACATTGCGAGCTTCAGGTTTTCTTTCGCTCGAAGAGGTCGACGAGCTTGATTATGGGTTGTCGATCCCTCAACCTGAAAAGAAATCAAAATCCAAGAAGCAGAAGCGTGATCCTGCCGCTGATGGTGCTGGTGGGAGTGTAGAGGATAAGAAAGCCGTGGAGAAGAAAAAGAAGAAGATGAAAAAAGGGAAGCAGAAGAATGGAAAATTGACGGATACAAATGAACCAGAGAGAAATGAGGCGGGAACTGGTTGGTGCTTCTTCTTGCTCTTGTTCCTTGTTGTGGATTATGTTAGTACTGCGAATTGGTCCCTGCTGCAATCTCATTCTCCTTTCTGTATCCACCTCGCCTTGTGATCAACATTGTTGACTTGCTTTTAATTGTCTGTTGAACTCTATAGCTCATCTAGTACCCTACTAGTTTTCTTGGTGACTCAAATTGTGATGAACATATGCTATGAGTATGCTAACCATCGGCTCCTGATTCTGTATTCCGTATCTGGTGCTATTAGTTAGCGATGGTGATGGTGATGCTGTGGTTAGCAATGAGAATGGTGATGATGTGGATAGTGATAGTAATGGTGACACCAAAGAAGACTCAGTTGATGAGACAGAGTTTTATGCATGGAATGAATTAAGGCTTCATCCAATGCTTATGAAATCAATCCATAGGCTTGGTTTTAAGGAGCCAACACGGATCCAGAAAGCTTGTATTCCTGCAGCGGCTCATCAAGGAAAGGTCGGTCCTGTTTAATTTCTTGAGGTGTGTTCATTATATTGGTAGTGCGATGGTCATGATTGCTCTTTTCCATGATAGGATGTTATTGGTGCTGCAGAGACCGGGTCTGGGAAAACTCTTGCCTTTGGTTTGCCGATTTTGCAACGTCTACTAGAAGAACGGGATAAGGCTGACAAACTGCTTGATGATAAGGGTGATGATGCTAACAAGTATGCCCCAACAGGTGTTCTGCGTGCTCTAATCATCACCCCTACGAGGGAACTTGCTGTTCAGGTACCTATACCATCTCACCATTGGTTACTTTCAGACACATTCTTGCTCACCCCCCACGAGGATATGCTTGCAGTTTTGTTTTGCTGGAAAACCATATATGTTTGATTGGTCTTTTATACGAATTCTTTTAGATTGGTAGTTTCATGTGTCTTTTTTAGTTGACTGATTTAGTTGAAAGAAAAGCAGCCCCTCTCGAATCCAGTACTGCGTTTTCCCCTCCATCTTTCATCTCTCTATATAGGAGGTGATGTAACAGTTTACACGTGGATTTTTGCAGTTCAATACTGTATTCTCTTTGTTTCTTTTTCAGTGTTGTGATCCAAAGGTTGGAAGACGTTTTCCCTCATATTCAATACATTGACAGGTTGCTTAACCTTGTAAAGTTTTTATTTTTTACTTAATTAGTTTGGACCTGTATTTTTGGATTTTGTCTAGGTTACTGATCACATTAAGGAAGCAGCTAAAGGGATCAATGTTAGAGTGGTTGCAATTGTTGGTGGAATGTCAACGGAGAAACAGGAGAGACTGCTAAGAGGAAGACCTGAGATCATTGTTGGAACTCCTGGGCGATTATGGGAACTTATGTCAGGGGGAGAGGAGCATCTTGTTGAAGTCAGTTTTGATTGCTTTCCATATATTAGTGGTTTTGTATGCAAAAGAAATTTATCGTTTTCTATTTCTTGTCTGTTGACATGGTTTTGTGCATATTTTATTGTTGCAGTTGCATTCCTTGTCGTTCTTTGTGCTGGATGAGGCCGATAGAATGATTGAAAATGGACATTTCCGCGAGGTGCAGTCAATTATTGATATGCTTCCCATGTCCAGCACCTCGACTATTGATCAATCTCAAGAAAGCCAAAGTTGTGTAACAGAGACTAGCTTGCAGAGAAAGAAAAGACAAACCTTTGTTTTTTCTGCCACTTTAGCATTATCGGCAGATTTTCGTAAGAAACTAAAGCGCGGGTCAGTGAATTCAAAACAAGCAGTGTCTGCTGACCTTAATTCTATTGAAACCCTTGCTGAGCGTGCTGGAATGAGAGCTAATGTTGCCATTGTCGATTTGACAAATGCATCTGTCTTGGCTAGCAACCTTTCTGAATCCTTCGTTGAGTACGTTAACGATAACCAAGCTATTAGTATTATGTTTGACCAATTCCTTTCTGCTTTGGAATTTTGTTTTATGTATTTTCTTGTTAATCTTTGGCAGTTCGTCTGAAATCATAGATTTTCAGGTTGCCTGATGCTTCCTTTCTGTATTTTGCTGTGCAGGTGCGCCGAAGAAGATAAAGATGCTTACCTGTATTATTTATTGAGTGTTCATGGGAAAGGCCGCACTATTGTTTTTTGTACTTCAATTGCAGCGTTGCGCCACATCGCTTCCCTCTTGCGCATCCTTGGAATCAATGTTTGGACACTTCATGCTCAGATGCAACAACGAGCTCGTTTGAAGGTTTCCTATTTTCTCTTCTTTTCCGATAAGTTGTTTTTTTGCTTTTGAATATGTTGTTGATAATGTAAAGTTACATATTTCCTCTCTTATAATTTAATTAAAAGAAAATAACTGAAATGTTAACTTCAACTTAATAATTAAGTGGGGTGATTGATATCTTGTGGCAGTCGAATATGAACTGGCTTTCAAGAGGCAAATTATAGATTATCTGAACAACCTAGTGAATTGATTTACTGTTTTGGTGATTCTTATCAAATAACATGGCTACTCCTAGAAACCTCTACTATCTTCTTTGTCCATTTCATTCCACAGATATCTTTCTTCTTCCACAAGTAGGCCATGTGTTGGTAGTCGTATGATCTTTGTCACTCCACTTATTACAATTATAAAATGTCACAAGCATGTGGAGTCCAATTGTGCTGTGATGCCAACAACCTTCCTCCACTATTCAATGCAGGCAATTGATCGTTTCCGTTCCACTGAACATGGCATACTTATCGCCACAGATGTTGCAGCAAGAGGGCTTGATATCCCTGGTGTTCGAACTGTTATACATTACCAGCTTCCTCATTCTGCTGAAGTAAATATTAAACTCTCTTTCACCACATGCTTTGTAAGTTTATTTTCTTGCCTTTCTTTTTGTTGAATTTACCATTGCACTTGCTGCTATTAGGTTTACGTTCACAGAAGTGGAAGGACAGCTAGGGCTTTTGCTGACGGCTGCAGCATTGCTTTAATCTCGTCGAAGGATACCTCAAAATTTGCATCACTCTGCAAGTCATTTTCAAAGGTAGTAAAGCTCCTGATACGAAACTTTTTATGTGGCTCATGTTACACAGTTAAAAAACATTGAAACCAAATTTGGAAAGCAGATATCAAAACTTGGTTTTGTTGAATGAAAATCAGTAACCTTTGTAAAAGTCTCATATAACACAAAATGGTGTTAGCAAGTAATTCTGATGTTACAAAATTTTACAAGAGTTCGAAGTATTGTTGCATTTGAGATCTAGGAGTCATTACCGTTTCTTAAATATTTGGTGGTTAAGAACAGTTGAGTAACATTTCTCTGTGTTGAACTACCTTAAACAGGAAAGCTTTCAGAGATTTCCTTTAGACGAGTCCTACATGCCAGAGGTGATGAAGCGATTGTCTCTAGCACGTCAAATTGACAAGATATCACGGAAGGAATCTCAGGTATTAATCGTCTACATAAACGTTTCATTCTTAGGTGTTTTAACATGGTTAGTTCAAGCTAGCATACTGACTTCTGAGATTGATGTAATTGAGTAGGAGAAGGCAACGAAATCCTGGTTTGAGAGGAATGCAGAATCAGTTGAGCTACTTATCGACGAGGATGACAGTGAGGAGGAAAGAGTGAACCATCTTAGAGAAAAGAAAGCTAGCTCGGCGCAACTGAAATCCCTGCAGCAGGTATTACTTTTTCTTAACTGTTTTTTTTTTTTTCTTCTTTGGGTGGAAGATAACTTTTTTCTTTACTTATATCGTGGTCTGCCCTCTGTTTCTGCAATTGGGTTGTCTCAGCCATGTGATAATCGATCTTCTTCTTTCGCACAGGAGCTCAATACGATAATTTCCCGCCCATTGCAACCTAAATCATTCTCCCATCGCTATTTGGCTGGGGTAATTAGTTAACTATGTCTCATAAGTTGAGCCCTTTACATTCCCAACAGTTCGCACTACTGTATTACGGATTTTACTCATATAAGATCATTGAATCCAGGTTTGGTAGTAACGGTCCGGCTCTTCAGCCTTCATTGACCATCTTAACAAGTCACTTGAGAATGTCAACTATTCTTTCAGGCTGGAATTTCACCCCTCCTTCAGCAGCAAATTGAAGAACTAGCGAGGCAAAAGACGAAGAACGGCATGGACATGGGAGACAACAAGCGGAGGAAAATGGTTGTCATCGGTCAGGACTGCGTGGAGCCACTTCAGGCACTCCGCAGTGGTGGTCATGAGGTTGTATGCCCTTATCTAAAGTTTTTCTTAAAGTTTTTTTTACCCGTAATTACCGAGTTTTAGTGCTGTCAGGTAGGGAGGATATGAGATTATCTTATTGCCACTGTCGAGATGGTAGATAGTTTAGGAATATAAAACTGAGTGGGTCTTAAGAATGTTTGTTACCGAGTATAACATGGTGATGAACCCCCAAAATATAAACTTGGTCCCTATCTTGTGCAGGTGCGCATGGACACGAAGGGGGTGGCCGAGAAACGGAAGAATATTGAGAATTTGAGGAGAAAGAGAAAGGAAGAAAAGAAGCGTATGCAGTGTGCTCTTTCTTTGCTCTTCCGTTCACTGCAGTTTTCATTCATAGACCGACTTTTGACTATATCAACAGTTATGTGTCTTCATTCTCACCCCCTTTCAATTTGGTGAATTGGTGTGTTTCCAGGTAAGCGAGATGAGCGGAGAAACCAAAAGAAGCAGTCAAGAGGGCGGGCGGATTAATGACTAGATGTGAAACAGTGAGTGAGTGAGTGAGTGAGTGCTATATCTTTGAAGATGCAAATTCCTGGAAGCAGGTTAATGGCAACGTAGACCTTTTTATTGACATTTCGTGGTCAAACTGCTTCAGGGTAACGGTTTACATATCTTGTACCGTAAGTTACGTAGCTCTTACGTCATGTTCTTAGGCTTTGGTTGTAGCATTACTCAGTATACCCTTTGCGATGATACAATCTATATATAGCATTTTGATGGCCTGCCTGGATTTGTTCTCGAGAAAGGGGCAGGATATTGACCAAATCCTACATAATGTGGGATTTTGACAAGATTACACGTTTGAGAAGTGCGTAGGGATGGCAATTTATCCACCTATAGGTAATTTTGCCCAAACCCAAGTAGACCCATTTATTATGGGTAGGGTTTGGGTGATGTGTGTATGGGTTTGGGGTTTGTATATGGGTTTGGGTTAGATATGGATATTATCTAAATGGGTATGGGTTGGATATGGATATCCATTTACTTGAGGGTGTTTTAACTACACATGCAAAAATTGGACTTATTTGTAAAACTTGAAAAGTTTAGGTACCAAAATGTAAGACCAAAAAAATTTAGGTACCAAAACGTAATTTTCCATCGATTTTGAGGACTTATATGCAAAAAAAAATTAAATTTAGTTACTAAATATGCATATCTATTAAGTTTAGGTACCAAACTGTAATTTGTATTTGGGCATGGGTACAAACCCAAATCCATTTGTTATAAACCCAACCCAACCCAACCCAAAGTAAATGGGTATGGGTACAAACCCATCAAACTTTACCCATATCCATATATTTAGATTTCATACCCAACCCAATTGGGTTGGATAGTAAAATACCCATGGGTATGGGCAAAATTGTCATCCCTAGAAGTGCGTGATATTGAGCGTGAAGATTGTTTAAATCCTTCAAATGCAGGTTTTTGAATTAGGCAGGTTGGCTTTGCTGCTACTGTTGTTTCACTCTCATACCCAGTAGCTTGCTTGGGTGTATTTTTTTTTTCTTGTAAACGTTTTCTCCTTATTAATTAATGCTATGTCATCATTATAAAAAAAAAATTGAAAAAAATAGGAGGAAGATGAGGGTAAAAATTGTAGTTTGATTTTATTTTTTCAATAAAAACTCATATTATAAACAAATACAAGATTTGATGAAATTTCACGACTACCTCTTCGTTCTTTTGTTAAATACAACATTTGGATGGCTCTACCAAATAAGATACTTTAATTTAATTACCATTCAAATACCACATGAACAATTAATGAATGATTTGACCTTACAAATACCATATTGATAATTATTCCATCCAAACCACCCTTAACTTTTTAAACGGTACAATTGTGGGTCAAATCCCACATTTTAGAAAATCCTATCCCCCTAACCGTTTGATGGATGGATGGATAGGATGGGCTGCGAGTTGCGACAGCCGCAGTTTTATGAACAGCCAAATTGTAATTGTAAATGGGAAAACGGAGGAAGAAAAAAAAGGAAGAATAGCAGCAGAGGATAATAGCGACGACTTTGAACAAGTGGAAGTCGTCTGTTTCTTTATAAGTTGAACCACAAACAAATGGGGGGAAAATGAAGATTATTCTGTTTTGGTAAATTCTTGGTTGACTTGACTTGTCACTCAATCTAGCTGTAGTGATGAGATAAAACTAAGGTCTGCCACCCATTTGGGAAGACAAGGATAGGAGGAACAAGGAGCCCATTGTCGTTGTTTACCGTTTCTACTAGCTGGCTACTCTGTCTAGTTTAGGTTTTGTAATTACCTAATAAGAGGTTGGAATTTTTTCTGGTATTGAGGTGTGGTTGAACTTACTTTCTTTCCAGGGCAAAACAAGCAGACACTAGTGGTGGGGTATGGAGAATTGCAAGTTGTCGGTGTTTTGTCTCGTTTTGAGCTCATGAGATGTCTCAATATTGTGATTAGCGAGTCAATATGGATCTATATCTTATGATTTGGTTTGTTAATGATGTATAAATTTCTTAAATTGTATATCTCACCTCATATGATATTTAATATTTTGAGGATGTGACATAAATGACACGAGAGCAGTTAATCACATGTATCATACATTAGGTCACCCAATTCGTGGGGTTGGCCTTCACGTTCCCGCTCTAGCGCGTGAAAACGCGGATCCTGAGTAAATCGCTATTAATTCGCGTACTATAATTTTTGGGAGCGTGAACTGTTTTTGGAAGAGCGCGGCTTTTGGAACGTACGCTTAAACTCCCCAGATGAATACCAGGATAAAGATGGGAAAGCGATAAAAAAGAATGGGTGGGAAGGAATAAAGAAAGGGTAAAGTTTTCCTAGTTGCCCCATTTACCAAGTCCTTAACACAGCTCATCGTCATTTCAGATGGTCGTCGACTCATCGTCGAACCTCCAACAAGGCAACAAGGCATCGTCTTCATCGCCTGACCCCACCGATTCCTGATTTTCCAATTCGAGAACCCTTCAGCATTTGAATCGCGATTAAAGCCTTCCCACCGTCCTTACGACATCCACAACCTACAAATCTTCTCCACCGTTGCGCCATGGAAGGTAATCCATTGCCGGCTTGACGCCTAAGCCTCCTTAACCTTAAGATAGACACCGCCCTGCGCCATCTTCGACCGCTCCACCCTTTTTTTTTTTTTTTTTTTTTGCTGATGATTTCCCTTTGCCTTTCTGCACCGCTACTATCGCCTCATGTATCCAACCCACTACTGTCTAATGCCTTCCATCTAAAACCCACCATCATAATTTAACTGCTGGCTGCCGATTGACGAGGGTACAAAAATCGAAAGGGAAATGAAATTTGGTAAATGGGTGGTGGAGATTGTGATTAGTTCTTTGTATGTTTGTTTGATAAGGTCTAATTTTTATTTGTTTTTCAGTTGGGTTTGGTCCTCAATTAATGTGTTGGGTAGGTGTAGGATAACGTGGATGCCAAGTGCCAACAAAGCAAATATGTGAAATGACATGTCTTTTTTTAAAGTTTCCTTCTTTTAGTCTTTCTCATTGTTTTTTTATATATTTATTGTACTAAATTATTATTTTTATATTAAAATATAAATAATAATATAATAATAACGCTCTTTATGCGCTCTTAATATCAAATTCTTTAAAAATGTACGCTCTCACGCTCCCGCTCTCGCTTTCGCTCCCGCTCTCGCTCCGCGAACTGGTTACCTAAATCATACATGACATATAAATATCAGATTTTTTAATTTATAAATTATCTTAGAGTTGACCTCGAGCTGAACTTTTGATCTTAATGATGAGCCAGAATTTAGGGGTCGTTTGGAATTTGCGATTGTTTTGTTGAGATTATTAATTACTATACATGTATTGTTTAGAATGCATGTTTTTTTTATTTTAGCATAAACAATACGTGGATTGTTTTTGTGATGCGATGAAAAACTATCACTCAAAATGAGTAATTGTTATATCTCAACTTTTAGTTGTGATTGTAGAGATAGCTGAGTTGAGATTGTTTTGTCTCAGTTTTTAGCTGATGCGACATACACAATCACACATACCAAACGTTGTATTCTACAATACATGTATAATATTATTATACATGCATCCACAACAATACATCAATTTAAGAATCGTAATTTCCAAATGACCTCTTAATAAATGAACTTGCTCGTGTTCGACGACTCGTTCATAATAAACGAGCGGAGCTCGAGTTCAATTCATTTATAAACTAACCACATCCAAAATTCCACCTGACTCGGCTCATGAATAGCGCTAAACCAAAATAGTATTCACGACAGACATGTGCGTGCGGCCGTTTTGTTATTATTCACCCATCCTCGGCCGAAACTAAAAAGATACCACCTTTTTTTATTGGTGGCTGATATTCATAAACCAATTGTGTTATCTCGTTCGTTCGTTCGTTTGTTCTACAGCTGAATCTACTGCTTTAGCTCCTGCAGCAGCTTGTTGAATGGACCAAGTTATCTGTCATGTCGTCTTCGTTGTGGCGTTCCATCTTTGTGGAAAATTTTGTACGTATATAATTCCACAAAGATCGAGGGGAGGAGGGAGAGGACAAAATAACAGCTGAAAATCATATGTATGTATGTATGTATGTAGATGTAGTAGCAGCACCTCAATCTCAGTTTGGTGGGTTTTCGTATCTCCATGTATTATTTATTTGTTACTAATAATAATTATAATGAAATGATGATGATAATAATAATATGCAGACACTACCAGACCACGTATTGCTAAATAATGGTTGAATAATGTTTGTGCCACCTAGCTCGAGGCAGGAACAATAATGATGGTTGGTGTGGGTTGACTCATCATCCGTTCGTCCGATCTCGTCGGAAGGGAGAGAACCTGTGAAAGAGTCGGGGTTGCCCCCCGAATTAAGCTCCGACGATCAAGTCAGTGTATGTTTTGTGGAGAGAGTTGAGAGAAATAGATAGAGAGATAAAGTGTAGAGAGATAGTAGAAAGTGGAAAGTGAGGAGAGAGCACAAAAAAAACCCCTCCTTGGTGGGTTTCGTACCTTTATATACTCGTAGCGGGTTTAGAGCGTCATACGTTGTCGATTGGACGCGGTATTACTTAGTCTCTGCGGGGAGCCTCTTAGCAACACCCCCAACAATTGCCCCCCAAGTTGGTGGTGAGTTTTAACTCATCACTAGTTTTTTTTTTTTTTTAAAATCTTCGTCGGTAATTTTGGGTGGGGCCCTATGTACCCCAGTTGCCCCCTAGCTGGTGGCGCGTTTGATTGACGCAGTGCCAGCTTCTTGCATCTTGCCCCCCAGTTGTTGTATTTTATTATGGCGCGTAGCCTTCACCCATTGTAGATTCTTCATGGAGCTCTCCTCGTCGGGGTGTTTTTAACCCTCAGTTTGGAGCTCTCCTCGTCGGGGTTTTTAGCCCTCAGTTTGAAGTTCTCCTCGTCGGGGTTTTTAACCCTCAGTTTGGAGTCTTCGATGCTCTTATTGAAGTCTTATTTGTGTGCTTCGTTGAGACTTATTTGTAGCTTCTTCATGGAGGTAGTCGAGCGCTCCCATGTTGTTTGGTACGTCTTGCCTCCCATTAGCGCCATTAGCGCTCATGAAAGTAAAATGTTTCAACATTTAATAATGATAGAGGGATAGAGTACTTAGCTTTTGAGTTGGAGAAGCAGCGCGAAGAGTTGTTAAAATAAGAGTGTTGCGCCAATGAATCACAAGGCGCATGTGTAGCCTTCTGGTAATGCTGCTTGTTTGGCGGAGGAGTGGCGCGAGTTCAAGCCCTCGCTTCGACGATATTATTTTTAATGAGCATCAGTGGATGTTGGGCTCTGGAAGTGATGCGATGCGGGCCGCGCATTGGAAGCAAGCCCAACATCCGCGAGACTGTTGTTGGCGCGGAAGTGGGGCAAAGCCCAATGTGAGGCGCGGATTGCGATCCAAGACCTGGGCCGCGAGATGGAGGTGTGGCGGGCCGCGAGATGACGCTTGGCCCACTTAACCGCCAGTTAATGATAGGAACGCAAGCCCATAGGGCTTGATGTGGCCCGTGTCAATGGAGCGAGTCTGGCGGACCTGGGCGAGTTGGACTCCGCGAGTAAGTGAATAGATAAAGATCGCCGCGCTTTAGTAGTAATAACCTCCTTTAGTCGGCTGGTTGACTTGCACGCCTTGTGGAGAAATTGCGCCAGTTCGAGTACTCTCGAACTGGCGGCAGCAGCATTTTTTGAGTGCTACGGTGATTGGCGAAGTGGGCCGCGACAAGGTTGTGGGTTGGAGACGCGGGCAGTATTCTGCCGCCATGATAATAATATATATATTGCCGAACTGAGTGGGCGCGAATAGTTCGTGACTATTGCTATTTTTTGTTCTTGCGAACTGAGTGGGCGCGAATAGTGCAGGACTATTGCTATTTTTTTTGTTCTTTATGAACTGAATGGGCGCGAATAGTGCGGAATTATTTCTATTTTTTGTTCTTTATGAACTGAATGGGCGCGAATAGTGCTGGACTATTGCTATTTTTTGTTCTTTATGAACTGAATGGGCGCGAATAGTGCTGGACTATTGCTATTTTTTGTTCTTTATGAACTGAATGGGCGCGAATAGTGCTGGACTATTGCTAATTTTTTGTTCTTGCGAACTGAGTGGGCGCGAATGTTAAAATTCAGACGCCGCACCATTGAAACACAAGGTTCGCTTGTAGCCAGCTGGTAATCTCGCTTGTCTGGCGGAAGAGTGGCGCGGGTTCGAGGCCTGGCGGTGACTTTACTTTTGAAATGGGGCGAGAGTCGCGAGACGCGAGTTGGGCCGGGCTGGTGAGTTGCGGGCTTGGATGCAGAAGGTTTTTAAGTTGGCCCCGCGCCATTGAAACACAAGAGTCGCTTGTAGCCTGCTGGCCAGAATGCTTGTGTAGTGCAGGAGTGGTGCGGGTTCGATGACTACTGGCGACGACATTATTTTTGAAGCGGGGCGAGAGTCGCGAGGCGCGAGTGGGGCCGGGTTGGTGAGTGGCGAGTATCGGCCCGCGGGGGAAGATGTGGAGCGCGCTTAAGAGGCCGGGGATGCGTGTGTGGGCTGAGTGTGCGAGCCCAAAAAAGAGAGAGGGCTCTTCTCTTTACTTTGCTTCCGCGCGGAGAAGAGGTTGGGAGCGTGACGCCAACTTGGGATAGCGGTGCGGAGAAAGATTACACTCGGGATAGCTCCCTTTTTTTTTTGGCTTTCGTCTCTATTATTTTCTTGTGCAACCAGGCCACTCGGGAGAATTGAGAGAGGAATGGAGAGTCGTAAGCGCGGCGACGCCCGCGAGGACATCGGCGGCCGTTGATATGAACGCGTCAAGAGTGTTGGGTGCGTTCCGCTTTTGCTTTGCTGGAGCGCTTGCTACAGCGGAGAGCGCGGGAATTGGCCGAGCGTGGCGCGGCTTGCGACTTCTATTCTGTCGCGCGGTGGGAGGCTGGTTGCGCGGCCACATGATGGCGGCAGAGGAAAAGGCGGCCACAGCTAGTGGCGGAGGCTGGTTGCGCGGCAACATGATGGCGGCAGAGGGTGCCATGGAGCGTGAAAGAGATGTACTCCGAACCTCCCATTCTCGGCCATCGTTCGCGGCGATGCGGAGTGGTTCAGGGGATGTGAGATGTCTCCAGCCTGTCGTCCACTTGTGCAAAGTTGTCTCGATAACCGTGTTGTTTGCCTCGAAAGCTCTCCTTGTCTTCTTTTACTGACAGAGTAAGCAAGTGGCTCTGAGAAAGGTCGGTCCCTTCAACTGTTCTCTCTTTCTTAACTGTAGGGTCCAGAACAATGGAGATTGGGAGAGGAGATGTCGACGGAACTGGCTTCTTCTTTCTCGCCGGAGCTTCGTATTTTCCGGCGACGATGAACTCCCCCTTTTTTGTTTCTCGATCCCCTTGACTGCTACTGGTTCAGCTCCCTTTGTTCTTTTGATTTTCATCATCTTTTCCTTCTCTAGGCAGATTTCCGAGAGGAAGCGGAGCTGCGACTTTCTTGCCTTCCTTTTGCTCGATTTTTTATTCCTTCGAATTGGCTTCTGCGATTGTATTTTAGATCCATCCCTCCTTCAGAAATCAAGTGAACGGATGTGCAACCCGCCCCACGGTGGGCGCCAATTGTTTGTGCCACCTAGCTCGAGGCAGGAACAATAATGATTGTTGGTGTGGGTTGACTCGTCATCCGTTCGTCCGATCTCGTCGGGAGGGAGAGAACCTGTGAAAGAGGCGGGGTTGCCCCCCGGATTAAGCTCCGACGATCAAGTCAGTGTATGTTTTGTGGAGAGGGTTGAGAGAAATAGATAGAGAGATAAAGTGTAGAGAGATAGTAGAAAGTGGAAAGTGAGGAGAGAGCACAAAAAAAACCTCTACTTGGTGGGTTTCGTACCTTTATATACTCGTAGCGGGTTTAGAGCATCATACGTTGTCGATTGGACGCGGTATTACTTAGGGGTCGTTTGGAGAATATGAGTTTAAATCTACAGATTATCAACAATCTAAAGATTCTAACTCTTCGGATTGTTGAAAACAGATTTTAAAATGTTTATTGTTTGGTAACTGTGATTGTTAACAATCAAGTAAACTAAAAAATTCATTTTATATTAAATAACATGTTTATCCTTAATAAAAAATTAGAGTGGTTCGAGAAATATAAAAAAACTTTGTTGATAAATATATTTCATGTGATAAATAAATAAAAGGAAGAGAAAAATTAGGAGAGAAAAAATCTCACGAATCAAGATACAGAATCTCTCTGGTTATGAGAGATTTGATATCCGCAGATTTTAGAGATTTGAAATCTCTAAAGCTAGAATCCATAATACAAAAAGTAACAAAAAAAACATAACTTTGTACAAAATCTACGGATTCAATAAATCCATGTCCTGAATCCTGTCTCCAAACGACCCCTTAGTCTCTGCGGGGAGCCTCTTAGCAACACCCCCAACAAATAATATATATTAATATTTTAATTTCATATTAATATTTTAATTTCTAGCTGATTCTGGAACCTTAATTAATTCTCTAAAACCTGACCGTCTGGGGATTTTTTTTTTTTTTTTGACGAACGTCTGGGGATCCTTTTGTCAATTAGGTTCGAACTGGGAACTAGAGTGAAGAATAATCAACATGTTGCTTGGCAATTGTATATTATCTCTCCAGCTCCATGGAATATTGGAATTCAACGATCACACAGTACGTACGGCCCCCTTTTTATCCTAAAATCATTTTGGGAGATTGTACTTACCGGATGATAAGTCAGTGATTGAATATCGTAAAACCGTAGTGAAAATCATAAAATTGTATAGAGAATTGTACCGTAAGATAAGTTAGTAATAAGTATTTTGTGCAAAAAATCATGGTTCAATATAATCTCATATAGGTAAAATCAAATATTGATGAGAACTCTGATAAAAAAAAATTCGGTTCGACCATCGATACGTTAGGACTTATCAAACACTCCTATTTGTAATTTGAGAATAGTGAAAACGAGTACAAGGAATCCGTTTTACAAGATTGAAAAAGGTCTTCATTTTTCTGAGTTTCCTTCTATACACTATACTACTAGTTGTAAAGTATAAGGTCATGCGAGCCATCTTGTGTAATATAAACATCTCGCTTAGTATGTTTGTTTGTTTTTGTTTTATGTTATGTTTTTAAAAAATTATGGAAACCAAGAGAAGAAAAAAAATGTTCAATTACGTTCCAAGAAGTAAACATGGGTCTTGGTAGCTAATTCATCTATATATATCGAATGTGGAACACTCTAGGTAACAAATAATGGCTTGATTCCAAGAAGTACTTGATTTTAGAAACAACATTGGATGAAAATGGAAGTCGGTGCACGTACTACAACCTTAATACAATGCAAAATATTATATCGTGTCGTTACCTGTAAAGTATGAGCATACGTAGAATTCACAATTGCACATGGATGCTTAAATTATTAAAATCATTGGAGCTAAAAAACTTGGTATAGTAACATCGAATATCAATATTCAAGAAATAGCATAAAAAAAAACATAAAAAGAAAGATTCAAGGGATAGCTTGTAACCTTTCAAGTAGATTCTAATTCCCATGGCTAAAATAGTATCAGTTGAATCTCATACCAAAATAGTATCGAATCTACAAACGTATTTTTTCGACTTAATCAACCAACCGCTATTTCAAATTACTTTTATTAAAAGATTTTTTTTTTCACGCATAAAATACCAAAAAAAGTTTGGAAAACAATTTCAAAACCGTGCTAAACAAGATCCTTAAAACCGAAGTCCTCCGTAAAAAATTAAAAGAATCAAAGAAACAGTTGAGATTCAGAAATTCCAGCTTGTATCCACCACCACCACTCCTAAAAAATCTCTTAAACAATAAATTAAATTAATAAATTCCTAATCAGAAAACCAAAAAAAAGGCTTTGAGTCGTCTCCTTCCCCAGCCAGCCTCCTATATTTGACCCTTCTCCCCGCGTATCAAAATCCCAACAACCCCACTCACTTTCTCCTCACCTCCCCATTCAATCTTCTCTCCCTCCGCCGCCGCCGCCGCCGCCGCAATGGCTTGTCCAGCCGACGAGCTGGCCCAGCTCTTCGGCTCAACCATCACCAACTCCACCGGCGCCGCCGCCTTCATCTGCGACCGCTTCACCGCCGCCTCCGACAACTTCTCCGCCACCCAGTACGCCGTCGACAACACCTACCTCCTCTTCTCCGCCTACCTCGTCTTCGCGATGCAGCTCGGCTTCGCCATGCTCTGCGCCGGCTCCGTCCGCGCCAAGAACACCATGAACATCATGCTCACCAACGTCCTCGACGCCGCCGCCGGCGGCCTCTTCTACTACATGTTCGGCTTCGCCTTCGCCTTCGGAACCCCTTCCAACGGCTTCATCGGCCGCCACAATTTCGCCCTAAAATCCTTCCCCTCCCTCAATTTCGACTACAGCTACTTCCTCTACCAGTGGGCCTTCGCAATCGCCGCCGCCGGAATCACCAGCGGCTCAATTGCGGAGCGGACCCAATTCGTCGCGTACCTAATTTACTCCTCGTTCCTCACCGGATTCGTTTACCCCGTCGTTTCCCACTGGTTCTGGTCCGCCGACGGGTGGGCCAGCGCGGCGAAATCCACGGATCTGCTATTCGGGTCGGGTGTGATTGATTTCGCTGGATCGGGCGTCGTTCACATGGTCGGCGGGATCGCGGGGCTCTGGGGGGCGCTGATTGAAGGACCAAGAATTGGGCGTTTTGGCGGGTCGGGTCGGGCGGTGGCGCTCCGCGGGCACAGCGCTTCCCTCGTGGTTCTCGGTACCTTTTTGCTGTGGTTCGGGTGGTACGGGTTCAACCCGGGTTCGTTCGCGAAAATCCTTGTCCCGTACCCGACCAACGCCGGCGGCGCGTACTACGGGCAGTGGAGCGCGATTGGGAGGACCGCCGTGACGACGACTCTGTCCGGGTGCACCGCCGCGCTGACGACGCTGTTCGGGAAGCGGGTCTTGTCGGGTCACTGGAACGTGACCGACGTGTGCAACGGGCTGCTCGGCGGGCTGGCGGCGATCACGGCGAGCTGCTCGGTGGTGGAGCCGTGGGCCGCGGTGATCTGCGGGTTCGTGGCCTCCCTGGTGCTGATGGGCTGCAACAAGCTGGCGGAGAAGTTCAAATTCGACGACCCGCTGGAGGCGGCGCAGCTTCACGGCGGGTGCGGGATGTGGGGGGTGATTTTCACGGCGCTGTTCGCGTCGGAAAAGTACGTGGCGGAGGTGTACCCGAGCGTGGCGAACCGGCCGTATGGGCTTTTCATGGGCGGCGGGGGCAGGCTGCTGGCGGCCCATTTGGTCCAGGTGGTTGTGATCGTGGGCTGGGTCAGCGCAACGATGGGCCCGCTGTTCTTTATCTTGCACAAGCTGAAGCTGCTGAGGATCTCGGCGGAGGATGAGCTGGCGGGTATGGACCTGACCCGGCACGGCGGGTTTGCTTACGCGTACCATGACCAGGGGGAGGAGGACGGGTCGGACCAGAACGGCGGGATTCGGTTGAGCAGGGTTGAACCGACGGCCACGACCAGGCAAATTGTTTAGGTTATAATTTTACTTTTATTTTATGTTTCCATCGTTTTGGGTTAATTATTGTTTTAGGAGAAATATTGTTCAGTTGGATTTGAAATTGAATATTGAATGGTGAATGTAAAGTCAGTAGTGTGTTACGATAATACGATTAGTGGGTTGGGATGTGGATTGTGATTTTGGTGGGGTGGTAATTATTGTTGGTTGGACATTTGGGGACGATCGCGCATGAGTTATTTTTACCTTTTTAGTGCACATTTGGCCTTTTTATTTTTTATTTTTGGGGTTTTGTTTACAGTTTTGAGATTTTTGGTTAACGGTCGTATATGACAGTGCAGATGAGATCTTTTCTCTTCATCCGTTTCCGTAGCCATCGGCTTGGGCATGTTGTGCCATCTAATTAACAAGTTGTTTGATCATTATCATTTTTTCCTTACATTTGATATATTTTATTTTGCAAACAATATCAAAATATTATTTGGGTACATGTGAACTTATATTTTGAATAATAATTTTATGTTCGTGTGTTTCTATTAGGGTGTTCAAATGATTACCGTGGTAATAACCAAACCAATTAAGCCTAAATTTCATTAAACATGGAATAAAATGTCTTAACCAAACCGTCCAAATTAACACGAAAACCAAATTAACCAAACCAAAGTTTAATTGGTTTGGTTAATCGGATAATCGAATTAACCAAATAACATAACATTACATGAAAACAATTATCCTGTTAATGAATAAAACATAACCATACGCTATTACTATCATAAACTATCATTATATATAAGCAATAATAATGAGAGTAACCATCCATGATTATCATCATCATTCAATTAATTCATCATTCATCATCTCTGCACCTAATATAGTTGGCTTACAACAGACCCATTAACATAAATACATACCAATGAAAGTTAAAGCTCTACAACAAAACACTTAAATTATACATAGTTTGAGGTGGCTGTCATGATATTGTACGTAATCCTAAAGTCTAGTAGCTGTCCAAAATATTTTGGTTTAGTAAATAGGCAGACCCATTTAATTTTTGACCCATAATGTTTTGGTTTGTTGTGCACATGGAAATAAAATAGGGAATCACTAAAGTTTGGTTTGGTTGGTTGCATAGAAGTATAAATAATTTTGTATATTAGGTGTATCATTAATTGGTTAATTGGTTTCATTGGTTAGCAATGTTGAAACCAAACCAAACCACCTAAACCAAATAAGCTAAATTGTTTAACCGAACCAAACCAATTATTCATATTAACCAAATCAAATTAACCAAATGTTACCGGTTAATATGGTTACCATGATAACCAATCCGTTTGAACACCCTAGGCAGCACCTCTTCTCTCTATATACAAACCAGCCGAGCCCCCTACTGGCTACTAGGTTAGATACGTACACAACCCCTAACCTGCATGGACTACATGGGCTTAACCAAACATATGGGCTAATAAATAAATATTTGCAGCCCAAACCCAATAACGTCCAACACAATAACGTAACAGTTTTTTATGGTTGATATACGTACATGTATAAATGAAGATGATTAAGCTGTTGAGGATAAATACAATTATGATAGACGAGAAACATTTAGTTCTAACTTTTTTAGTAATTAGCACTTAAGAAAAGAGGGTTAAAAATAATCTGTGTAAGTGTGTTTTATGATTGATGACCTTAACCTAAGCATCGCCAATAGAATACAAACTCATGAATTTGATGAAAGATTATCAATCAAGGCAAGCTACTCTATTATTGGTTTGACATCCTCATTTTCCCCCTAGAATTAGAAATACTATTAGCATACGATTCGTTTAGCCTATACCCTCAGTGATATTATTCCTCCATTGAATGAAATCATTGACCAATTTTTGTTGTTGTTGTCCTCTGCTCATACTTCGGAGTCGAGGCACTCAACCATGTGCGAACATTTTCCTTAAAATAATTATCAGTTTCTTAGCTTACAACATGTACTTTTTGTTCAAAAAATCATTAAAACCCAACTAAATATATTTTTTATTCTCAGTTTCCGCATTTTGTAACAGCTGTTTTTCGGTGAGGAAAAATATCTGGTGTTTGAATTCAATACATGCACGTTTGATTTCTTGAACAACGATTAATAACATGGTTCACTCCTCTCCGAACAATGTTCGAACGAGGGTGTTTGATGTTCTTGATGGTTTTTTGGGAACAATCTGCATTAATTACTCCTACTCCTATGGAGGTTCGGTGAGAGCTCCAAAAACTAAGGGCTATGGCTACATTGCAGAGAAAAATATAAATTTAAACATTGTGCGTCAAATGTTTGGTTGTGGAACCTCAGCTTCTAGAGTTGAGGTTCATCTTGTCGCCTCGTCTTGACTAGAAGGGGTTGGGACCTCCTTGTCTTGCCTCCATCACATTGGCTCTCTCATAGAGCCTCCTTGACGATCCTGACACCTTGATGATTCCCTACTTAGTTTCTTTAATGTCGCCTTACTACCCATCTTCGTCTTGTTAGCTAGGTCTTGTTACCCACCTAGACATGATGAAAGCTTGGCCTCTTCCCCCACTAAATCTCCACACTTAGTCTTAGAGAGCTTGACATTGAACCTAACTTGTCATCTTGGTATCAAGCCCGTCTTGTCGGCTTGATACCCTTGCTACCAAGCCAGCCCTGTCGGCTTGGTCTCCATACTTAGCTTCTTGAATCTTATCAAGTTGGTACCTTGCACCTTGTCGGTTTGCTACCCCGTTAGGGGGCAACCAAGCCCATCTTGGGACTTAGTCTCCATAGAGCCCCCTAAAGGGATCTACATCATGTCCATGATGATTTGGTACCGAGCCGGGTAGTCACCTCAGATGGCCACCTTGTCACCTCCTCATCGAGTTGGCACCCTTTGATCTCTATACTTAGTACGAATATGTAGAATATGTATCTATACTTAGTCAAATTTCATATTTTGTTTCCAAGTCTGCCTTGCCGGCTTGGACTCTCTAGGGGTCTTGGTACCGAGGCTGCCTTGCCAGCCTCATACCCCTTAGTTCCATACTTAGCCAAATTCATGTTTTTCATGTCTTGGTACCAAGCCCTTTTCATGTCGTTTCGTATCAAATCTGTCTTGCCGGCTTGGTACTGTCGCCTTGTTTCTAGACTTAGTTTTTTGGATGACCCCCTTTTTGGTACCCGACTTGGTACCTTGTCGTTTGACACCCCGTTGTGCTGCCTTGTTTCCAAACTTAGTTTTTTGGGAGCCAAATTTCATACCAAGGGGTGGAGACATCGTCCGACTATAGGGTTAAGGAGATGGGTTGGCCATCATATAAGAGTGAAGGGATTTGGCCATTTATGCCCAAAAACCCAATCCAACAATGCCCATCTAGCTCTTTGAATTATTAATGTTGAGCTGACCTTATAAATCCATTAAATCTTTTGTAGTTAATCGATGTGGTACAAACTGATTTTTTTTATGGGTAAACAACATAAGGAAAAAAAAAACAGAAATACACAACTATACTAAACAAGACCATGACTAAAGAAGGTGACACGATTTCCCTAATAACCAAGTGAAGTTTATAATGAATTTATTATGTTAGTATAATATATATATATATGGTGCCTTCTACGGTACCCCGAGTGAAATCCGGGGTACCGCATACTTTGAGTATGGAAACGATATCTAGACCTCGATTAGTAGGATTTTTGGGTCTGATACTATACCCTAACTCTTAATGAGTGAACCCTAGGTCCTAATTATCTAAATCATAATCTATAAACCCTAAGATGGTGCATTCCTTTTTGTGCCTATATTTGGACGAATCATAATCGTCGATTATTGTTTCCAAATAAATTGATCTTGGAGTAAAATATTGGGAGAATTAAGACCTAGATTTTAATCTTTAAGGGTTAGAGTATAGTATTATGTCCGAAAGATCGGCCAATTCAAGGTCTAGATAATGTTTTCATACTCAAGGTATGTGGTACCCCGGATTTTATCCAGGGTACCGTAGAACTCGCCATATATATATATATATATATATATATATATATATATATATATGATTATGTCTTCGGTGCACTCACTTTTTTGGGTGCATTCAATGCACTCGCTTCATAATCGTCATTCTGAGCAGGCGATTCATGTGAAAACGATGGCAATCATCCCTTGTAGTATGATGAACAAGAACCACATTAATTTTTACAAAAATCATTCAAGATTCACTTTAATTTGAATGATTCAGGGTTTAGGAATTTAGGGTTAGGGTTTACAATTTGGGTTTTTCGGTTTAGATTCAAAATTGAATGTTAATAGGTTAGGGTAATGGGTTGATTAGTTGTGATTTTGTGTTATATCATCATATGAGACTAATGCTACCCATTAAATTTCAAAATTTGATGTATTATGACCACTTTTAGAGGTGGGTGCACTGAATGCACCCAAAAAAGTGAGTGCACCGAAGTAGCCACTATATATATATATATATATATATATATATATATATATATATATATATGGGGAGTTCTACGGTACCCCGGGTGAAATCCGGGGTACCGCATACCTTAAGTAAGAAAACACTCTCTAGAACTTGAATTGACTGATCTTTCAGACATTATACTATACTCTAACCCATAAAGATCAAAATCTAGGTTTTAATTCTCTAAATCTTATACCCCAAGATCAATTTAATTAGAAACAATAATCGACGGTTCTGATTCGTCCAAATATAGGCAAAATAAGTAATGCACCATCTTAGGGTTTATAGTTTATGATTTAGATAATTAGGATCTAGGATTCACTCATTAAGGGTTATGGTATAGTATCATGCCCAAAAATCCTGCTAATTCGAGGTCTAGATAGCGTTTTCATACTCAAGGTATGCGGTACCCCGGATTTCACCCGGGGTACCATAGAAGGCACCACCATATATATATATAGTTCTACGGCACCCAGGGTAAAATCCGGGGTACCGCATACCTTGAGTAAGAAAACGCTATCCAGAACTTGAATTGTCTGATCTTTCGGACATGA